GGTCCATAACTTTTTCATTTATCAAAGGAATCTGAAATAACTTGGCACAAATGTTTGTTATAATAAGATGATGTGTCATGCACAACAACCACACCCCTACCTCCAGGGTCAAGGTCTCACTTGCTCATTCAAGGTCAACATTGTCTATTTGATGATATATGTCGTGTCCGGTCAATAACTTTCTTATCTTTGAAGGGATTTTGTAAATACTTGCCACAATTGTTCACAATAATGAGACGATGTGTCATGCGCAACAACCGTCACCTACCTCCAAGGTCAAGGTCACACTTGGAGGTCAAAGATTAACATAGTCTTTTACAGGGTATATTTCGTGTCCAGTCCATAACTTTTTTATAGATCGAAGGATTTTGTAAATACTTGCCACAAATAGTAACAATAATGAGACAATGTGTCATGCACAACAACCGGTCAACTACCTCCAAGGTCAAGGTCACACTTGGAGGTCAAAGATTAACATAGTCTATTACAGGGTATATTTTGTGTCAGGTCCATAACTTTTTCATTTATCAAAGGAATCTGAAATAACTTGGCACAAATGTTTGTTATAATAAGACGATGTGTCATGCGCAACAACCAGACCCCTACCTCCAGGGTCAAGGTCGCACTTGCTCATTCAAGGTCAACATTGTCTATTTGATGGTATATGTTGTGTCCGGTCCATAACTTTCTTATCTCTGAAGGGATTTTGTAAATACTTGCCACAATTGTTCACAATAATGAGACGATGTGTCATGCGCAACAACCGGTCACCTACCTCCAAGTTGAAGGTTACACTTGGAGGTCAAAGATTAACATAGTCTATTACAGGGCATATTTTGTGTCCGGTCTGTATCTTTTTTATTGATGAAAGGATTTTGTGATAACTTGCCACAAATAGTCACTAGGATAAGACAATGTGTCATGCACAACACCTGCATCCCTACCTCCAGGTTCAAGGTCACACTTAGAGGTCAAAAGTTAACATAGTCTGTTTTAGGGTATATTTTGTACTTCTTCAGGATTTTGAAATAACTAGGCACAAATAGTCACAATAATAAGACATTATGTCAGGTACAACACCTGCACCCCTACCTCCAAAGTCAAGGTCACACTTAGAGGTCAAAGGTTAACAGAGTCTGTTATATGGTTTATTTTGTGTCCTGTCTATAACTTCTTCATAGATCAAGGTATTTTGAAAATACTTGGCACAAATAATCACCATGATAAGATGATATGTCATGCGTAACACATGTGTCCCTACCTTCAAGGTGAAGGTCACACATAGAAAATACTTGGCACAAATAGTAATATTAATAAGACAATATGTCATGCACAACACCTGCACCCCTACCTCCAAGGTCAAGGTCCCACTATGAGGTCAAAGGTTAACATGATAGAATTTTAAATTCCGTTTTTCATTTTACTAGTATTTCTTTAATAAATTTATTGTTGCATTTGCAGATCTAGCATTGATCATAATTTTGGACTGAAAGTCCTGAAATCCATAACTAAATCTTTTGAAATAGCACAATTTTATGCTTCATATAAAACTTCCCCGAGGCGGGGGACGTTGGTAACTCTGTTACAAATTCTTGTTCTTCTTTGATTTAAAAAGAAACTTTGATTCAAAATTCAGGGATAAACTTCGTTTTAAAAAGATCTTTCCCATAGGATGCCAGACTAGCTAGCACATTTCAGAAGATATTCTGTGTGCATATTTAAATGTTCAAGATAAAGGTTTGGTTAAAGCTAAATATAGCACAGTATAGTACTCCCTGTGGGTAATGTGTCTCCCTTGATAATGCGCTTATTTCAACATGTGCTAATTTGCATAAAAAGCGCCACCAATGAACATGGCAGATTGACCTAAAAGTCTAGGATCATTGACCTTAACATTGATGGGTACATGTTCTTGTAAAAAAGATGCAGCTTAATGTCCATACCAGTAAAATAACTCAGCCAAACTTTTCCTTTTTATTCTTAAAAAGTTAAGTACCACAGTACCCTGAAAGGCATCGCCTCAACCCAATTTTTTACACACCACATATGAATATGAAGAAGTTACTTTAAGGGGAGTGCAGTAAACTGTTAAAAGTAGTGAAGAAAACTTAACTGAAACACATCTCTTTTTTGAAATTTAAACTTAAGTGATACTTATGGAGAAAAAAATTATGGTAAATAAAACAATAGATATAATAATTATTGTCTAGTCAATTACTGTTTGGTTGTTGTTGTTTTTTAAAAGGTAATAGCTATGAAAATAAAGTTCTTTGTGTCCTCATTATTAAAATGTGAACACTTTTCAAAATATGAACCACTATCAAAATAATGTTTTGAATAAAATAAGTAAAAAAGCACAAGCAATTAAACTAGAAGTACACAAAAAAAAGTTGAAAATATAACGATCTTTACATTACATGATTCAGATGCAGATTAGTGTCGGAATGTAACGAATTGGCACAAAGTAGTCCCCGGATCAGATACAAAAGAAAATTTATATTTAACCCGTTCGTACCATTTATATTTTATCATTTATACATTGCAGGTTGACAGAAAGGTTTTACATGTAAACCATATATCTCCATTACTTCTCATAAAACTTGCTTGACAGTATTTGAACATTTTTGTATCTCGACAATTTAAGTCTTGTGTAGGCAACAAGAAGTTTTAAAAGAATATCATAACATCAACACTAGGCTTATATATTACCATACAATTATCTCATTATCAAAACAGAATTAACTTCTGTACTTAGAACACATTTTTTCACAAAGAACTTGAATAGAAAGTTTTGTTGAGCCAAGAGGGGTGTCACTAAATCAAATAACTACAATATGTAAACGAAGATCAACTTAATTTCAAGGATTAAGGGCTAAGGACCGAATGTTTACAAACTTACGTTGTAAACTATGCAGCTTTCATTATATTGCATTTTATCCCTCAAATGGTATTTTAAAAAGTCAGAAATTAATGTGTTTTTATCTGATAATGGTTATCCTAAACTGTTAGTTCCCGTAACCACTTTGTTTTATTGGGGTACAATTTTAAATTGTTTATAGGCCTGCTATAAAAAAAAAAAAAGAGGACCAATATTTAAGTAGTTTTTTTTTTTTTTTTTTTTTTTTTTTTTTTTTTTTTGTTAAATTATTGGCAAAAGATTTAATTTTTAGCTGAATAAATGAATAAATTCAAATGAATAAATCAGATTTGAATTTATTTGCTACAAATGGCTGGTAGAGATGTTAGTTCTAGTTACCTCCCTTTGATCATTGAAAATAATGTTTGTAAAGCGCAAAGGATCTTAAATGTGAGAATTGAAATAAAATACATATATAAATTTATGAAAGTATTTGTAACCGTGTTCAAAATTGCATTGTTTGTGCTCAAATTTAACAAATTCACAACAAATTCGAACCAAGGCTTTAATTTAAATTTATAAATTCTTTCAATTTTAGAGATATCCCTGTTACAGACTGTCGCGGTTCATGTACTATGTTGTAATATATTGTACATTCAATGAAAACCTTTGTTTCAAACAAACATGTACAAGACAATTAAAATACAACAATTTGCATTTCAATGCACAAATTAGAAGAAACAGAATTCCTAAAGAAAGTCCAGAACAACAAAATAGAAAATGTTGCAGGCTAGGTTTGATTGAGTCTGTTCATGGACAGCACTGGAAATTGCAAGCTGCCATCCACACCTTGTCTTAAGACAGCAGGTTCTATTGCAGACACTTATTTACAGTAGTTCTAGACTTCTAGAAGGTCAATGAATTCTTACAGTACAATGCCATGATTCTATGTTGTGTCTGTCTGATGAATAGAACAGGTTTTTTGTCATTTAAACAAAATTTTGCTCATAAATTATAATCTTTAATGTCATTTTTTAAATACAACATAATAAAACAGATATTTTTTGTGTGCAAATGTTAAGATGTTAACATAGAGTTAAATGTTAAAAGTATTTTAGTTTTTCTCGTTATTCTGCCATTTAATGTATCTGTCAGTACAGAGTTTAATACATCTGAATTTTGTCTCACTACCAGTAAATAAAAGTACAAAACATTTATTTGGTATTTTAAAACAGTTTTAATTGTGTTTAAAACACACAATATATTGCTTATTACAACACTTTTTACTGTAATTTATGACAAATTAAAGTCATGCATGTTCTTACATGATAGGAGAGAAATGCCTTATAATTCAGATATAAAACTCATTTTCTTGTAACAAACCATATGTACCAAATTTCAGTTGTATTCTTACTATTAATTTCTCTTATAAAATATCAAAAGATTTTAAGAAATCTTTGTTTTTTCTAACAAAAAAAATTGTTTTTAAATAAAATATTTAAGTTTTAGTAAATAACCCGCCCCCTCACACAAAAACTCTGCCTAATGCTTCAACACAGCTAGTTGATTGTTTTAAACAAACTGTGACAGGACATTTAGTTAAAATGATATGCCAAGATTGCCTTTGTGACATTATAAACAAAACAAAAAACACAAAAAAAACACATCAATGTTAAAGGGCATCTTTGAAAAAAAGAGGTGAAAATTCCTTGAAAATAATTTATGTTTTTGTGCACTGGTTTTGATGCTGTACTAGAGCAAGTGGGAAATCAAAAACTGTCAGCAGAAAATGATAGTGGGCTAATGAATATAAGTAAACAAACAATTAAAATTAAAAAGTGCCGGCAAATTAGGACAATAATTTGATAAAAGACTTATTTTTCTGCTACATAACAGTAGCTACATAACAGACAAAAGTAAAAGATGGAATAAAAGCTGCTACAAGTCAGTTGTTTGTTTGTTTGTTTGTTTGTTTGTTTGTACAAACTTGTGTCTGATGGAGTGCACTGGTAAAATTAGACCATTACAATTTTGACTTAAAACTCAACCAAAAAAAAAAAATTTATTAGATCTTTTTCTTTTTTAATTAAATAATTTGCCCATAGAATAAAAGTCTTACATGTTATTTATTTTCCTCTTTCAGGATTTCCTATCACAGAAAGGTTTTGTACACAGAGATCTTGCAGCTCGAAACATACTGGTTGGCAACGACAAAACGGTCAAGATTGGTGACTTCGGTTTAGCACGATACATCTACAATGATGTTAACAAAATATATGTGACAAGACGTGGCGGCAAGCTTCCGTTGAGATGGATGTCTCCTGAAGCGATCTTTGATATGACCTTTTCTACAGCCAGTGATATGTAAGTATAATTATTACATAATCTTGAAACAATTGGACTACTCTTTTAAAAATTTTGATGTACATGGTAGTGTCCCCTTTTCAATGGTTAACTTTATATATTATCTTCATGGATTATCCAGGATATCACAGTGCTTTCCTAATTGATGTCAATCTATTAATCTGATTGGTTCTGGTCATAGTTCTGGCCTATTTGGTGTCACAATACTGAAATTACTGGTGTCACAATGCAGATTTGATTACTGTCATAGTGCTAAACTAAATAATGTCTTGTTTTGTGCCATAATGCTGGACAAATTGATGTCACACAGCTAACTGATGTCACATAGCTGATTGGTATTGCACTGCTATTGAAACCTATTTTTTGATATCACAAAATTTATAACCAACCTGATGACAAAACTAAGGGTCAACTACATGTAATTGACAGCAAAGTCACAAATATATCATTCACTTCCGGTTCTTAAGATGATGTTAAATCGTTAGATTTTCTTTTTTTATAAATATATTCTTTAGATAAGCTTCAAGCTTTTGTTGCATTTACAGTTACAAAAATGAAAAAACAGGGAAGAATAGATTACATAAAAAAATTTCTTTCTCTTTGAATCAAGTATTTTGTATTACGGCCATAAAATTAAAGTGTTTTATGTAAATTATTATGTAAGATTATTGCAAACAAATTATGTACTTGAAAATCAATTTCACGTTTTCATGTTTGTGATATATGACTAGGCCTACTCTTCAGCTCAAGTATGTCTGTATCAAAATGAAGTTTAGAATTATTACATCACTGTCTTAATATACTGCAGTTTGTTAGAATTTATAACATACACAATAAATGAATGTCCAATCAGAAGAGAAAAAAACGCCCTGTATTATTTGATTTTGTGATTATTTCAGCATTTTTACAGATGAAAGGCTTTATTTTTTTGAAACAGTTTTGTAGTTGAACATGAGTTTTTCACAAGACTTAGTTTTGTAGTTGAACATTGAGTTTTTCACCAGACTTGATTTTGTAATTGAACATGAGTTTTTCACCAAACTCAGTTTTAAAGTTGAACTTTAAGTTTATCACCACCCGGTTTTGTAGTTGAATATAGAGTTTTTCACAGACTAAGTTTTGTAGTTGAACATTGAGTTTTTCACCAGACTCAGTTTTGAAGTTGAGCATGAATTTTTCACCAGACGAGATTTTGAAGTTGAGCATGACTTTTTCACTAGAGTCCGTTTTATAGTTGAACATGAGTTTTTCACGAGACTTGGTTTTATAGTTTAACATTGAGCATTCCATTTAACTTGCTTAGTAACTGAAAATTCAGTATTTCAGAAAGTTATTATGATGGTTGCCCAATTTTAGTATTTTGTTGTTGAAACCTTTTTAAGTGACAATGGACTGTTCCAAATTCAAAGCAAGACAAGTCCATTTATCAATTTTAGGTTGGTTAGGGTAATAAACTTTTTATTATTTAACTAATGATATAACTTCTATGATAAATAACTAATGTTATGTATGGAAAACCTTGCTTCTAATTAATCCCTACGCCTGCTAGTGGTGCTAGATTCACACATGCGGCCAGTGCAGACCAAGATCAGCCAGCTCATTCTGTTGTTCTGATATTTAACATGGTGATGGCGAATATTAGATACAGTAATATGATGTACACATCAATTATTGTTATTAATTCTTGGTAACATTAATTTTTGTTACATAATTATAAACTATTGTTTGCTCAATCTCTATTGATACATGTACGATATTGCTATTTGTTTATGCTTATTACGAATGTTGTTTCATCTATGTTATTTGTTTAAGCTAACTTCAAAAATGCTTTTCTAAATATATGTTAAGTGTAACATTAAAATATTGTTTATGCTTGTAAAATATATTGTAATTATCTTTATTACAAGGCTTATCCATTTAGTTATTTATTTCCTACAGCTGGCAGTGAGGGTATTGAAAACTTCACTAATCTTGTTGAAAATGTTCCCAAATTGTCATTGCTATTTATAGAATACAAACTTTGGTACTTAAGCATTTGGGAGGCTTGTTGCGATACTGAAATAATTTTTGTTTTAAGGCCGTTCATTTACAACAATATATCGCTAAATCCTAAATTTGTTTAACGTCCACCGTTCACATAGCATTGATGAGTTGTTACTATGTCCAGTCAATAAATATACACTAAAGCTATAAATATTTACAAATTATTACTAAATTGAAGTGTTTTAACTGTGCTATCAAATAAATGTGTAAATATTTATATATGAAATATTTCAAATTCATGACTTGATTATACCCTGTATATAGCCTTATATCTTAGTTTATTGTCACACAGCTGTGAAGTAGTGAGGGGGTGTTTATTAAATTGTCATTAACTTTTGCTTTCAATCACAACCTTTCTCCGCTTTGTTTTATACCTTTTATATTTATTTTTTACGCCCCTCCTTCAATGTTGTACTCTAAAAAAAAGGGAAAAAACATGCATACACAATATCAGTGTATAAGGTGGCGGCATGGCTGAGTGGTTAACATGTCAGACTAGTAAAGTAAGGATTGCTGGCTAGGTGGGTTCAAACCCTGTCAGGGGCAAGCTGTTGTTTCTGTGAGCAAAAAACTTTACACTCATTGCTGAATACTGGTTGGTTCCAGGAATGGAATCAAGAGTGTTTCATTAAGCTTATAAGTTCCAACACAATCAAACTAAAATAAATTTGTATCAACTAATATCAGTGTTTCGTACAATAAAATACTGAGATTTGTCTTCCTTAATCCTATAGCTCTGTTCTAAACATAAACCAGGCAGCCAACACCACAATGACTGATCCGAATGCATGCTGACTCCATACAGTTTGTCATTGGTCTGATATATCTTTCATTTCAGCCATAGCAATGGACAGTTACAGGAAATTCATTTAGCATACCAACTTGTTACACCAATATTATATATTTTGATAAGGTCAAATTTAATTAATTAGGGCATTGACTTACAATATTTTGCTGACAAATTTCCTGGTACAAATATTTGTATCTTATAATTATCAAATTCCATGAGGGGCATAGCTGATAAATAAGTCAATCTGACACATGATTCTCCTTCAGTACAAAGATGAAAACACAAATAGTCCTAGATATAAGTAGTGAAAATGCAATAAAATTAATGGGTTACAAAGATAATTTAAAAAAATGATGATATAATGGTACATTGATGATAATGAGACAGTATGATAATGATAACTCAATGATAATTAAGAGGGTGAAAATGCTCCTGGATAGTAATAGCAGTGACATCATGATTGTAATATAGTATAATTGTGGTAATGTGATATATGATAATTCAGTATAATTATATAATGCTATAGTATGAAAATGTAGAATAATAGATGTAATGCTACAGTATGATAATGATAACACAGTAGAATATAGGGATAATGCTACAGTATGATAATGATAACACAGTAGAATGATAGGTGTAATGCTACAGTATGATAACACAGTAGAATAATAGGTGTAATGCTACAGTATAATAATGATAATACAGTAGAATGATAATGATAACACAGAAAATAATAGGGATAAAGCTACAGTATGATAATGATAACACAGTAAAATAATAGGGATAATGCTACTGTATGATAATGATAACAGGGTAGAATAATAGGCGTAATGCTACAGTATGATAATGATAACACAAGAGAATGGTAGGCATAATGCTACAGTATGATAATGATAACACAGTAGAATGGTAGGCATAATGCTCCTGTATGATAATGATAACACAGTAGAATGATAGGGGTAATGCTACAGTATGATAATGATAACACAGTGGAATGATAGGCATAATGTTACTGTATAACACAATAGTATGATAAGGTTAATGGTACAATAGGACAATTATAACGCACTTCAAAGATAGGATAATGCTAAAGTTTAATAACATTAAGAATGATAATATCAGTGTTACAGTATGGTAATCATAACATAGTAGAATCATAGGATAATGCTTCAGCTTGATAATAAAGTATTATGATTGAAGTGATGCTACAGTATGATAAACATGTAGATTGAGTTATCTTCTGAAGATAACTTATGACTTTGACTTATTATGAAACCATATTGCTGTGGTGATATAAGAAATCTAACTTTACAAATTTTATGGTTATGGTATGGTTACACTTTTCTTTAACACATACCATAATATAGTTTATTCTCACATCTAAGGGACTTGGTTACACTTTTAACATGACTTTTCATTGAATCATTAGAACAGTGAGAGAAGATACAGCATATAAGATTTTTATATAGATATCAGTATTAATCAAATGAGTTTTTTGTTTGAATGCACTGAACAATAATGGGGAAATATGAGGCAGTCAGATGACATGCATTACAGGCATTGAAAAAGAATAATGAAGTCCAACTTCATAAATTTTGCACTGAATGTCACATTGCAAAGGTATCTAATCATATTCTATAATAAATCTATTTGAATTAAACATGCTGAATGAGTATTTGTAGGTAAACTTGATTTATGTCTTAGTTAAATTGATGATTTTAAGATTTGAGCCGCATCACGACAAAACCAACATAGTGCATTTGCGACCAGCATGGATCCAGACCAGCCTGCGCATCCGCGCAGTCTGATCAGGATCCATGCTGTTCGCTATCAGCCTCTCTACTTGTTATAGGGTTTGTAAGCGAACAGCATTGATCCTGAACAGACTGTGCGGATGCGCAGGCTGGTCTGGATCCATGCTGGTCGCAAACGCACTATGTTGGGTTTTGTTGTGACGCGGCTCATTTACAGACAAAAAATTACAGTATTTAAGTTGAATTCCTGACTTGACTGAATATGATACTTAAACAAGGCATTGTTTCTAAAATTTCATATCATCCTATTCAACTATAATAGAGTAATTTAGATGTTCGGTGCAGTATTAGTGTTACACTGCTATTTATTCTGTACAAATTTCAAGTAGATCCATTATCACTGAGTGTTATGA